GCACCAAACAAAAAAAAAAAAAAATGTCTAGGCACCAAATAAAAAATGATTCAAAAGAACTATATTATTGGTTTTTAGGTTTTAAATAAGCTGGGCCTAATAATGTAAAATTGGGCTTGTTTTTTGTCTCAATTTGTCTAAGCTAAATAATATCAAACTGGGCTACCAACCTATTACTAATATGGGTCCAAAAGGAAATTACTAATCAACACTGGGCTGGAGCCCACCCCAGCCTTTGGGGTGGCTCCGCCCCTGGTTGTCACACTTGTTGGAGATTAGGCTAATTAATTGCTGAAAAATTGCTCCTTAGCTGCTGTTTTTGTTCGGGCCTTGAGCGACTACTTCCGGGCTTTGTTGTTGCTGTTCGAACATTGCTAGAGTGCACTGATCGGGAGTTGTTCGGGCTCTACCGGGCTGCACGTTTACCTCCGAAGATTGACGTCGCTTCAACGGATACCCAACAGTGGTATCAGAGCCTGGTTCCCGCACGTCCGTCCCTCTGCTCCACGCATTGGTCAGACGAGCACCTAAGGAATAGGGCTCGCTCTGGTAAATTGGCTTGACCTCTCTTTTATTGCTTTCGTAGCGTTGCCCCTTGTCGGGATAGTGGTTAGATGCTGTCCCTTGTCGAGAATTATCTGTTAGGAAACGTGCTGGTAGAATTTTAAGATCTTTGTGATTTATGTGATTTATCGCTTTAGCTGTAGGCTCCAGCTGCATGTTTATTTGATTTATTTCCATCGTAGTAATATTCCGCTGTGCATGTTTGCTTTGTGCAATTTGCGTTGGGTATTTCTGTGTGGTTCGTATCTGTGTGATACTTTGATTGTTGGCATATTTTCTGTGTGAAATTTCCTTTGAGAAATTTTTTTTGTGTGATTTTCTATCCAAAAACTTGTATGTTTTTCGAAAATGGGCTCTGTGTCAACTTTTAGCTTAGTCCCGTTTGATGGAAAATCTGATTTTGCCATTTGGCAGCAAAAATGAAAAGTATTCTTGTACAACAAAAAGTTTTTAAAGCTACTGATCTTTCTTATTTAGCGAATGTGACATCCGAGAAGAAGGCCGAATTTGATGAGTTTGCTTATACTTCGATTATTTTGAATTTATCCGACATGTGTTGAGAAAAATTGGTAAACTAGACTCTGCGAAAGAACTTTGAGAAAAATTGGAGGAACTTTACACTAAAACCTCCTTGCCAAATAAGTTGATTTTACTTGAAAAAAATTTTCGGTTCAACTTGATCTGTTCTAAGATATGGATGACAATTTAGATGTGTTTAATAAACTTGTCCACGATATTAAGCAAACTGGTGATAAGCACATTGATGATTATACCCCTATTGTGCTCTTGAATGCTATACATGATTCTTACAGTAATGTGAAATATGCTATTAAGTATGTAAAGATATGTGAATCTTGAAATTGTTGTGAATGGTTTGGAAAGCAAAGAGCTGGATTTGAAAGCCAACAAGAGTAATGAAAATGTCTGTGAGGTTAGTTTTGTGAGGGGAAGGCCTCAAAATCATTTTCAAAATGAAAAACCTCCGAAAAATCAAAATTTTGGCAAAAGGAAGGGTGACTGGAAAAGTAGGTCGAAGTCTCGACCGAAAAACCGTAAATGTTATAATTATGGAGAAATTGGTCATTACATGAATGATTGTCCTAATCCAAAACAAAACCAGCATAATGATCATGCGAATATGGCATCTAGTTTGAAAACCTTGGTGATGTGTTTTATGTGACCAAAATGCATGATAATTGGAATCTTGTACGTTTTCGTTCTCTTTGTGAAACTGAATGGCTTATTGATTCTGTATGCTCATTTCATATGTCTCCTTTCAAAAACTTGTTTTCAAACTACAAGGATGTGAAGCATGCATTTGTTTCTGTGGCTAATGAGAAATCATATGAACTTGCTGGTCTTGATGATATTTTCTTGAGATTTGATTTTGGTTTTCTCTCTTTTAAAAACAATCTTTGGCATGATTTTTGATTTTGGAGAGTGACACTCTCCAAAAATCGTATTTCGGAGGTAATTCGGGTAATTATTATTGAAGTCATGAGTATAATTTGGGGATGATAAGGGAGTGTAATAATGTTTTGTTAATGTGTCGAAACATTATTTAAGTTATTGAGAAAAGTGGACTTGACCCACAGTTAGACCCAGTACTTAAGAAGCCAACATTCTCACCCCCTTAGGGTCCCTACATAGCTCTATAAATACACCATTAAGATATTGAGATTGGGCACTTATAACTACACGCATACACGCGAGTTAGATCGGCCCTAGTCCCTGGAGGTCATCCGCAAGCCACCGCATAGGCGTCCCCGGCGAGCCATCACGTGCGACCAGGCCACACACGCAATCAACCAAGATGCAGTCCTTGTGACCACCGCGCACAACCCTGACTCAGCAGCTACCTGCTCCCGTCCGCCAGCGACCCAAGTCTTCTTCGCGAGCTCCGCTGACGACCCGCACGCTGGGCACCCGCAAAAATCTCGCACAACCGCGACCCATCCATCGGTGCGAGTCTTCTAGTGACCCGAGACGTCCGAACAAGGCGATTTCCGGCGAGTAGAAAATCAACCAATCTCCATCAACAGAAATCTATAACATCTCAGAGTCTGCGAATTTTAAGTCGTAAGTGTTCAACTCTAAACCTTTAGTATCCGCTGCGCATAAGTTTATTATTGATTATTTGATTCGTAACTTGTACTTAACGAGATCTTAATAGTTCCCATCACCAATCACATGTGGCTTGGAACTTTCTTTCTCTCATATTTCTCGCGTGTGATTGCTAGGGTTGAGTAATGTGAATGAGTTCGCCACATGGCTTATATACAGTAGGGACATAAGGAGGCTAGGATTAGAACTCCCAATAGGCCAAGAAATACTTGGGTTGTGGTCCACCCTATTTCTTGGGCCTTTATTAATAAATAATTCCACAAAATATTTATTATTGCACTTCTTATTCTTCACCACAATTATATGGGCTCCACTATCCTCGATTTATCTCCTCATGCCAAAGATATAAAATTAGTGAATTAATTTAATCACTGATAATTTAATTAATTAACTTCTTGATGTCCCAAGACAAGTACCGGTCTATCCTTGTTATTATTATGCCGAACTAAATCTGCCTGCAGGGCTTAACATAATAAACCTTATTTGCTTATCTCGGGGACATCATCAATTTGGTGCACTAGTTCACAATGATCGAGTATTATGGACAGCACACCATGTGATTAATAATAATTTCTAATTCACCGGGTTATGGACCTAACGGAATATGTCTCACCCTTTGATGAATCAGAAAACAACTATTAATCATACGTACCCATCATTATCAAGGGCTTAAGAGTACGAGCGATATCATGAGGTCTAGTTTATTTACTGGATGAGTATAAAATAAACTTCTCTTCCGTGGTTCGTTCAATACGCACAAAATATACTAGTATAACTCATTTGTTAAGATAAACTAACTCAAATTATAATAACCATACCGATAGGTTTTTCCATTGTTATATCAATTATGAATCTTATTTATATTGCACAAGAAATCGATAATGCAATCTTCTGTGTGACGATACCACACTATATTATCTTTAATGTGAATAACAGGACAAAAGGCAAATCCATACATAAAGTAAATTGCACAGCACTGATTGAACATGACTCTTTTATTCAAAACAAAAATAATGTTCAAACGTCCTTTGGTGGGTTCCATGTATTTCTTGAGATCATTGCTCGCCATGGCTAGTATCTGATTGCTTTTTAAAAGAGATTCCCATAGACGTCTCCAAAACATCCTCAATTCGATCCGATGTCATTTGGTCGTCCTCGAAGTGATAGAATGACCTGCAAATTAGCGTCGGTGGTTGACTCGGTGTAAAAGTTCCGACTCTCAAGTCAGTATTTGGGGAGTGATGATGTATGTAATTTGTATTAGTTTATAATATTCAGAGAGTAGAGAAAAAATGATGATCATACCTCGTCCCCTTACATAAAGTCATTACCATGTCGCCCAAGATCTGCTCAATCTTGCTACCCGAGTGCCCAGACTGTCGCATCTCACTGTCTGAGTTCTCAGACTGCCCTATCTGGTTGCCCAAACAATTTTATTATCCGCTTGTTATTCGTGTTCTAATCGTGTTCATACTTATCTCTTATTTGATGTGTTCACATACTCTATCTCATTCGGTAGATATCTTAGGCATAACAGAGCTAACAAGTTGGTTCTTTCTACATTTGACCGTTCTGGTCTTTGCTAAGTCCACTTCTAGGTCAAGTTTCCATCAGACTATCCTGGAGTCCTAGCTCGACTTGTTACTGAACCAGTTTGCCTTTGAGGTCTTAACCAATCTGATATTTTTCCGACCTTAAGCCTCATGCTTCCGACCTCTAACCGAGCTACCAGTCCACTCAAACTACTCGAGCTGCTGTGAGGTCATACGAGCTCTATTAGTTGGTATAATATAATGTATCATCTGGTTCCCTTTCCCCACTCTGGTCGAGTTAAGATGTCTTGACCCAAGAGTAGAACCAAGTATTCTAACAACGAGTTGCCCCATCAATCGAGCTGCCTGTCCCTTCCTGTGGTGAGGACATACAAACTCAACCTAATAGAAAGATTATAATTTTAAAATTCAAAATAGGTCTCGCTTAAAACCATTCACCCAACCTTTTAAATCACCTGACACCTTTTCAAATCATCTAACTCATTTCTAATCGACGTCACTATCCCGAATTATTTCCCATCTTAAACTACGCGCCCATTAATTATACTTCCATCTCACCCGTCCATTCTTAGGACCATCAAACTGTCCAGGTCGATCCACCTCTTCGTCCATTAACTGAATAAACAAAAAATAAAAAATAAAAAATTGCTAATACTAATCACAAAGAAACACAACAAACAACATTACATGCTCGCGAAAGGTCTAGCACGTTGCAATGCTTGTTGCACATATAAGCGCCAAGCGTGCTTGTGTTCCCTACAAACGTCCTCTTTGCTCTCAGTAGGCCCAGTCTGATTCCAACACGCCTACTGCTTAGTTAGTGCTGAATTGGTCCGACCGGTCGTTCGAGCAGACGTCCAAGCCTAAACGCTACCAATCCCATATAATTTTGAGCTACTTAAACTCAAACCTTTTGACATTATAAGTCATATGTAGTTTAGATATAATTTTTTATTTACTCTTAAATGGTTTTGAAAAATTTGCAAGTTTTTCAATTAAAAATTGAGCCTTAAAATCGGTACAAACCAATTATACTTGAATAAAACGCATCAAATACATATTTTTCATAATTTTTCAAACCTTATCACTTTCCAAATGAGGCCTTAGTCAATTTCATGGGAACAAAGATACTTGGACTAGGTTGAGGTGTCAACCATAAAGTTAAGGAATTAAATTATTTAATGTGCCAAATTCTTTGAGGTTCTTAATCAAAATATTGAAGAAAATAAATAAATGCTTGCCAATTAAACTAGCAACTGCAAGGAAAGGGAACAATGCCCGGTTCTACATTAATTTTCCTGCTGACAAAACTAATCTTACTCAACTTATTTCCACACCACATCAATTGATCCCTTGTTATTTTTGACATGTTAAAAACTCTACACATTAGTTTCATATCTATCTGGGCAAAAATGTGATCAACGTCATCCTCCTTATTCTGTCCAAATTTCCTCAAAATGCAATTTTCGCTTTTCAAGACATCCCTCAACTTCTTCTCCTTCTGCATTATCAATAGCAAAAACATTTTTTTCAGGGTAATGGATGAATTATAAAAGCATTGGTATATTTATTAGTTTAATGGCATAATGGTTAAAAAGAATACTCTCTCCTATTCTTTTTAAATTTTGACCGTAAATTCTTTATATCTGGGTAATTAATTAATTAGTCACATCTCAGGGTAATTATGCAATTATCGGGATCATGTAAACTAACCTTTTGAATTTTTTTTCTGACTTGTAACAGCAGCTTGAGATCTTCAGAATTATGAAGATTGGGCAATTTCTTGTTGCCATTAATTGGTGAAGAGTTGCAATCATTATCCGATTGAACAAATTTCCGAAATATTTGTATTGAGTTTAAAATCATCTCCACTAGCATCTCACTTGTGACTCCATAGCGAACATCTCTGTCTTTTTTATATGCCTCGTTATTGTTTTGCGTGTAGTCCTCTGCCAATTAATAAGCTAGATAATTAGCGAGTTTGTCAGTAATAATAATAATAATAGTAATAATAATTATTAAAATTAAAGCAAATAAGAGCATGAAATAATATGTTTTGCATCTTAGTTATATTACATTAATAAAACAATATTAAAGCATTCTATAAAATAATATGGATGCATATTAAATGGTTCTCAAAAGAGTAATTCCATATAATAATATAAAATAAATAATTAAGTACTATTTAATGAACAAAACCAAGTAAAATTAATCAATTCATGATGTAATAAGAAACAAATACAAGTATCAAAATTAATCAATCAAACATTGTTGGATTTGAATCGAATCCTCACCTCTGACGAGAGGAACTTGAAGTAGATTACGAAGGACACATCGGTTTTTCACGTAATTTTGCACCCTCGACCCTTGGCAGTGCTCGTCCGCTATAAACCTCTGCATAAGCGCTCGAAACTGTCGAAACTCGTTCGCCACCTCATTATACTTACGAATTCCACATGGATCACAACTCCATAAATGCAAGGCTTTGCCATACTGAAAATGTAAAAACTCCCACGACAAACACATTTGACCAACGTAAACCACTTCAAAATCGCCAAGCAACTGTTGGGCTAACTTCTTCATGGGCTCTGTGCCATGTCTTTTGGGCCTCAATAGCCACAGTTTTTGAAAGACCAGTGATTTTAGAGTTGGGGCTTTAGCCTTTTTTGGGTGTGGGGAGGATTCAAATGAGTCTTTCACTTGAAGAAAACCTGCATTTTTTTTTAAAANTGTTATTCTCATAAACTACACGAAATTTCGTAAAGATAAAATATCAATGTAAAATTGACAAAAAAACAAGGTTTAATTGCAATGTATATAGCCAGCATTTTGTACGCAGTAGCAATAATAGTCATCATCTGTATGAATTGACAATAGTAGCCAAAAACTTTTATGTTTGGATATAAAAAATTTTGGTTTTGATTGGATTTTTTGGTTTGAGTTGGTTAAATTTGAAAAAGTTGGTATGAATATTTAAAATAAAATGATTAAAAATAATTTGATGTAAAAGTAGGAGAAAAAATATGTGGTGTGATGGTTAGTTAAAATTATGTAAGTTGATGAATAGTGAATTAAGATTGATGTTGTGTGAATGATTGATTGATATTATTTAATTATATTGATAAGATTAATGATAGTGAGGATGAGTTAAAGTTGAGTTAAAAAAAATGATTGAGTTAGAAATAATTGAATGTTTTGAGTTGAATTTATATCCAAACATGCTCTTAAAATTTCGGGGTTATTACCCAAGTCCAACCAAATTCAATAGCTATTATTCCACCCCGTAAATAGATACTGACTATATTTTACAATTTATCCGTCAAATTTGGTCGGATTTTTTTAATAACCCAAAAATTTTGAAAGTTGTTGACTACTATTGTCGATTCGTAAAGATGGTAGCAATCACTTAATTAGAAAATATGACTATATTTTGCAACTTAGCCTAAAAAAAATGAAAACCTTCTATGAATTCAATTCTAAATGGCGTTGTTTTCATGAAAAGTCATAGTAGTGCCCAAAAAATTAATGAACTAAATGGTGAAGCTAATAGCATTTTAATAAAGACATGAAAAAGTATGGAAAATGAAGTGAACTTACCCATAGCATACATCTTTTGGTAATTCAAAATATCGAACTTGCGCATCATTTGTGTGTAGCTATGGTACGATTTGTGAAGCTCGGCCATACACTTTTGGTGCTCATCATCAATTTTGCATCCCTTCAATTTTCCTCCTACTAATTTAGGTGACTCCGATTCTTCTAAAATGGTAGGTAAATTTGAAGACCTCTCCCTTCTAAGCTCCACTTTCAATTGATCAATCAATTCTTGGTGTTCCCATAATGGCCTTACATCATTTTTTGGTCCTAAATTGAAATCTTCAAACCTATCATATTTATAATTTTCTAACTTTTCGTATTTGTTATGATTTTCAATGAAGTTTGTAAAGTCATCATTCTCCAATAAATCCATTCTCTCATTATGGTTTTCCTCACAACTTATAAGGTTAGATACATTTAGAAATTCTTCATCAAATTCTGAAACATCCTCACTTTCCAACTCAGAATAATAAATAAAACTACCAACTTTTCCATTCTTGATTGTGCTAAACTCTTCACAAGTTGAAATTTTGAATTTCGAATCTAACTCTGAGTTTTTCTCCTTTTCCTCGTAAAAACTATTTGGAGCTATTTTTTCAAGAAATAATATTATATTCTTCTTCAAGAACCCATAACCAATACATTTTTGCAGCCTGCTGCCACAAACAAAATCCGGATTAGAGATAGTAACAGCAAGTTGCAAACTTTAATTATGGTATTAAAGATTTCTGTAACTAAAATTAAATTAAAAGCACATTACATAAGTAGCTCTCGTAATAAAGATTGATTATCCCAGCAGATATGTGCAATAATATATATGAGAATAGTGCAATTGTACAATGGAATGTATTAATGAATAATGTACTGTATAATATAATGTTTGTTGATAAATGATAAACACCGATCGAAAAGAAGTACCTCAAGATGTAATTGAAGAAGTGCTGCACATAAGCTGAAACGATTTGAAATGCAGACACCATTTTCTGGCTTAGGACTCCATAATGAAGACCCATTTTTCAGTATTCACAATAAGGCCTAACTCAAATAGATTTAAACAAAATAAGAAAATGAAATTTCATCAAATATTAAATCAGAATTGTGAAATTAAGCAAAAGCAAAAGAAAATAGAAACACCTAGTGAATGGAATTTATGGCTCTTTTTGAATGTTTCAACTGGGAAACAGACTTTGTACCTGTAACCAAAAAGTAATGCTTTAAATAAAATATAAGACAAGATTTGGGACAAAATTAGAAGTTGAAATGTGACCTAATTGGAATAATTCAAGGATAGATGAAAATTGTAAGCAAGAAATGTGGGGTCGATAGTTACTTGCTAGCGACTCGGACTTTAAGCTCATTTTTCTGCTTGATCAGTACCTACATATCTGTGCCACAGTTGAAAAAGATAAAATAGGTGGCACCCATTGTGTTCAAGGATCTATGCGTTTTGTTACTGCGTTTTAAATAAAATAATTAAAATTGATTTGATGTAAAGTATAAGAAAAATGATTGAAAATGATGGTTAATTAAAATTATATGAGTAGATGAATAGTGAATTATAGTTGGATGTGATGTGTAAGAATGATTGGTTGATATTATTTAATTATATTGATAATATTAGAAATAGTGGAGTTGGGTTTTAAGTTGATTTAAATTTGAGTTTTGATTAGTTTTTTTACTATTGAAACTATATCCAATCGCCCCCCAAGTAATTGATGCATGATTTTCCCATTTCGTCAAACTTAAAAGGTGCGTGTAATTTTATTGCAAAAAAGAGTGAGGACTCACACCAACAAAGAATAGAAAGACCACTCAACCACTAGGCTAAAATTGATGTTCGCTTAATTAATGATATGTATAATATCATATTGAAATCAAATAAATAAAATAAATATGAAGTAAATAAAATTAAATAAAATAAAACTATAGTAGGTAAACATAATATAAATTAAATAATAAAATTATAATAATAATAAATTAAAATAAAATAAAAATAATGATTCTTTTTGAAATAAAGTAAAATAAAATCTTATTATAGCAACAAATTAACTAAATTTAAACTAATTTATATTTTTTATTTATTAAAATAAAATTAATTATACAAATTTGGAAACGAATAATAATAATAAACTTAAATAATAAATAAATAAAATTAAAGTAAAAAATTTAAAATAAAATAAAAAATGGTGAAGTAAAATAAAATAGCTTATTATGAAATAATAAATTAAAATAATATAAATCTTAAATTAATATAATAAAATGAAAACTATTGTTTGTTAAATATATAGTTTAATACGATTTACTCTTACATACAATATGAACTAAAAAAATAGAAATAAATTATCATATTTTAATAAATTACTTTTATTAAAAATAAATAATTAAAGTTTCTAAATTTTGTGTCGTAAAATTTATATTAATCTTATTTCTTTGTCCTAAGTTAAGCAAAATAAATAAAATTTGTTAACTAAGATAAAATAAAACGAATAATGCAATAAAACAATATGGAAAAATATAAGTTAAAATGAATAATAAAAAAAATAGATTAGAATAATCTAAAATAAATACAATAAATATTAGTATTTTAACTTTAATTTTTTATAATTATTTATAAGTTATTTTAACTATTTATTTTTATTTAATTTAGTTTATTGTATTTTAATTTTTTATAAGTTTATATTTTATTAATATACATTATGTTTTAAACTGAATTTAATTTATCCATATGTAATGTCTGTACATATTAAGTGTTATTAAATCTAACTCTCATCCTGGAGTGGTGTGGTGGTAGCAGTGCTTTCCACTCTAACTAGATGTCTTAGGTCGAACCCCATGTCCAACAATATTTTTTAGCTAATTTCTCGTGATATTTTTAAAATATCATGATAAATTCAATTTACTGTAAATATATATAAAATCTTCGGAGGGTATAGTGGAATTTTTGCTAAAAAAAAACACGTTAACGGGAAAAATGAAAAAGGAGTGTGTGCAACGATTAGTTAAATATAAAGAGGTGTCACGCATTTTTTTAAAACGCATGGTAGTAACGGTGTTAATTTTTTACAAAAATTAACATCGTTGACATGCATTATTCTATACAATATGATTGTTGAAGATGAAGGAGATGGGGTAACACATTGGCACAATGATGAGGATGAAGACCCCGCTCAACCTGTCCAGGGTTCAAATCGAGAATTTCAAAATATATTCGTAGAAGTTCAGAGATACGAGACAATGCAATGCATCACCAACTTCGTGCAGACTTAGTTAAGCATATTTGTACTCATTTTTCTACCAACTAAAAAGTTTTTTCTTTTTTTTTTTCTTTTCCTTTTCTACTATTTTTCATTTGTAATCTTAATTTATGTTTTTTTTAATCTAATAATATTTAATGTATTTTCAACATTTGAAATTAAGTATTCTAATTAAGAAAATACATTTTTTTAAGAATATAATACAAAAATAGTATCGAATGAGTAGGTAATGGGTCTCATATGTTTGTATTTAAATCAATGATTGAATATGAGTGTATGTTTAGTGGAAAGATGACGTGGAGAGTGTAAATTGTGATTAAATAAATGTGAAGGGCCATTGTTTCCATTGGTTCCCCCAGTTGCTTTGTTGACTTCTTATCATGGTCACTGCCATTGTGAGTTATCATGTATGGCTTACCTTGTTCACATGGAAACACTAATGAAGTAGTCTCACTAAGCTCTAACTGTTTGTGCACCAACGGTGTTGAAGGGTCCTTCGACATCTACCAAATTTGGGTCATTGTTTTCTTGATGCAATATAGATTTGCTTTCCTATCCCTAACAATATTTCCAAACAAACTTCTCTTCATGTATTCCGAGTAGATGTAGATATCGTTCTCTTCACTTGTAATAATGCTTCCTTTTTCGGTACAATGAGAAGTTTCCAAAATTTTATTCGATGTCATCCTCCATGAATTAAATAGAGTGAAAACTGTGGATTTTCTAGAAGGGTTAAGCGAAAACAAGACAAGAGGAACACTAGCCTCAAGAAGCCCACCACACACCAATAAAAAGAAGAAGTAAATAAAAATTCGTGCGGACACCAGAG